TCCTAGTTCTACTTAAGAGCCCTATGGCTTTCTAGACTGCAGAGATGGCAGGATGGGCACCAGGTGCTGGCTGCCCCTCTCTGAAGCTTCATTATTTAGTGATCTATACAGAACATAGTGAACTCTGGTGGCCTGGTGGTAAGGTGCTGCATTGTCAGCCAAAAGGCATGCAGTTCGAACCCACCTGCAGCTCCACAGGAAAAGGATGGGGAATCTCCTCCTGTGCTATTTACTGCTTCTAAAAACCCACTGGAGGATCAGCTATGAGTCAGTTCCACTCATTGGTGTACAACATGCAGGACATAGTCCACTCTCTGACCACACTATCTGTAGGACTTGCCAAGAGCCACACCTCTCCCACCTCCAAATGCCCCAACTCACTGGTCCTTCCACTTCGTACCCCCTGCTCTCCTTCAGCGCTCCTCTGGGCTTCTCCAGACTGGGCACAGGAATCCTTCTGTATGCTACCACAGCATCCTATGGTCTCTTGGCCTGGCCCAGAGCAGGTACTGGGAAATATTTGGGAATAGTGACACTGGTCCATGTCTCTGCAGATTACACCTACTTCTACAAGGGCCGAGATTACTGGAAGTTTGACAACCAGAAACTGAGCGTGGAGCCAGGTTATCCGCGTAACATCTTGCGTGATTGGATGGGTTGCAACCAGAAGGAGGTGGAGAGGCGCAAGGAAAGGCGGCTGCCCCAGGACGATGTGGACATCATGGTGACCATCAATGACATGCCAGGCTCCGTGAATGCCGTGGCTGTGGTCATACCCTGCATCCTGTCCCTCTGCATCCTGGTGCTGGTCTACACCATCTTCCAGTTCAAGAACAAGACAGGCCCTCAGCCTGTCACCTACTATAAGCGGCCAGTCCAGGAGTGGGTATGAGCAGCCCAGAGCCCTCTCTGTCCACTCGGTCTGGCCAACCAGGCCTCTCCTCATCAGGGCCTGAGAGGCAGCTCCAGCCACTGCCCACCAGGGCCAGCCGGGCCCTAGGCCAGGGTCATGCAGCTGAAGTAGTAGGTGTGTTGGCCTAGGCTGAGTGTCAGGCAGGGAATGATAGGGGTTGTGCCTGGGATGGGTCTCTGGCACCCAGCTGCCAGCCTTCTATTCTTGGTCTACTGCCTACTCAAAGGAATGGCCCAGGCCCCATCAAGAAGCAGGGACCCTTCTAGGTGGAGCCCCTGTGGTCACCACATCCTCGGGCCTGCCTGTGAGGCACCACAGCTCCATTCCCAGCTTGGGCACAGCACCTTCTGCAGGAAGCCAATACATGCACTCGCCTCCACCTGGGAGATGCTACCAGTCTTCGCCCCCTTTAACCAACACCTGCTGGTCAGATGTCCCCCCCCACACACACACACCCCCCACTGTCCTCCAAGGCTATTGGACACCTGCTGCCAACACAGTGGGCACCAAGCCCAGGTTTCCCCTGCTGAAACACAGCAGCTTCCTCAGGAAACCTGCTCCACATGTCAGGGTCTCCTCTGAGACCCAAAATTTAGGGCCACATGCTACAGGCAAGGCTGTGGCCCAGCTGAGTCTGATAAGGACCCAGTCATCAAGTCGTGAATATTTAAATGTCCTTTCACTACTGTTTAAGTCCCATTCTGCAAAGGCTGCTTGAGGGTTTAAGAAAATAAGAGGTGACTGTGTTGGTGTTGAGGCCAATGTAGTCAGCCTTCCCCTAGGTGGTAAGAACCAAGGTGCTGATAAGGCCACTCTGGAGACCAGACACCTCAAGAGCTGGGCCAGTAGCTGGTCCTATTTCTGGAGGCCGATCTGAGCTTGTGACACCTCTACTCCCTGCTAAACTCGCCCTCCCTCCTCATTCCCCAGCACTATCCTCAGCCCTGCTCCAGCCTGTCAGTTTGGCCTGAGGGCTCAGCCTCACCAGTTCAGTGAGAAAGGGAAGGCTCCAGGAACAACATTCTTCTGACCTTGGGATTCCTCAGAGCCCACTCCACCCCCACTACCTAAGGTCACCTCAATCTTTCAGCCTGGAAGCAATGTTTATACCATGAGCTTGGCCCTTCCTGAGCTAGCTCACTGCACTCATCTTCCTGCATTGCTTAGGAAAAGGTTATACCCAAATGGTAGTAGCCCCATGCCTTGGGCCTCACTTTTTGACCCTTCTAGGGCCTAACTTTCACTGTTTCTGGCAGAAATCCCAGGACTCAGCTTGCCTCGCTCCAACCCAGCAGAGGCAGCCCCGCTTGTCACTGAAGTGCCCATGGCAAGACCAAGGGACGCAGTGACATTTGCTGGCTCTGCCAGTCAGGCAGCCCTCAGGTGCTGGCAGGACCTCACATCTTGTCCTGCCCTCTGAGCTTGCATGGGCCTTGCCTCCACCCCTGGCCTCTGGGCTGGCTCACCTTGTAGCACAGCCAGGGACTCCTGCTGCCCTAGGAGCTGCCTCAAGCAAAATCTCTCTGTCCCAGAGGAGCCAATGTGGGTCCATTGTGTCCCTGTCATCGTCCTTGTTTGTTCTCATTTTGGCCAAGGGCAGGCTCCCTAGGGCAGGGGGGAACGACTGTGGAGATATTAGTGATTCATAGGTTTGTACAGTGTTTTATACTTTGCAAAGCACTTTATTAGCTCACATCTGTCCATTCACATGAAACTCATGTAGGCCCTAGGAGGCGAAGGTGATTCTCATCATGCCTTTTGGTTAGATGAAGAGATTGTTGCTTGCCAGGCCATCCAGTGGGCTGCCCAGGCCTGTGTCTCCACTTGTGGACCCCTCAGGTGCAAGGAAACGGGGCAAGATGAGATCAGAAGTGTCTCCTCTATCCATCTCCTCATGGTCCCTTCTCTCCAAACTGGCCCTCTCCACCCCTCAGGTTGGTGCTCTCACTTACTGAAAGCTCTAGGGCTCTCAGGCTCCTTGCTGGCTCCTGGAACTACCCAGGCCAGCCGAAAAAGAGCAGGAGATGGAGGCAGGCCGCGCAGGCTGCAGATGTGAGGGATGTGGGACCAGGCCCAGAGACGGCTGGCTTCCAATCTTGGGCTCTCCTGCTTTGTGACCATCTGTTTGTCCCTCACCCCAGTACAGGGCAGACAGAGGAGCAAAGCACTGGGGGCCCCAGAGCCCAGCTTCCCCTCAATCTGGGTGACATCACAGCATTTCAGTGTCAGTCACATTTTAAACTGATCAGCCTTTGTATAATGTTTTTTAAATCATTTCTAAAATAAAACAAAAATACAGTATGTGCCATTTCCCAGGAGTGTGGGGGGCAAGCATCCAGGGGCTGCTCAACACATTGGACCACCAGGCCGGTGATGATACATTCTCCCTAGAGGTCCGATATAAACGGGGTCCCAAGAACACAGCTTCACGGAGGTCCAGCGGGCGCTCCGCAGCAGGAGTCTGGGATGGGTCACTGTAGCAAAGTCAAATGGTGCAGGATCTGCCTGTTTCTCAGCAATAAGGGATGGACGATGTCAGCAGCCTTGGAATCTTACCAGGAGTCCCGGCTGGTTCTGGAAGCGAGTGGGGGTCTTCAGTCACCGTCCACAGGGAGTGTGACCTCAGTTTGGGCAGCCTCAGGATCCAGATGCTGGAAGCGGGAGTGGAACTGGCTAGAGGGGAGGGTGTCGCGCGCGAGCTCAGAAGGGGCTTCTCTCGCTGGTACTTCCCGTGACCTCTTCTAATTCTGTGCCTCTCTCAAAACATACCGGAGACGAAAAGAAGGGTGGGAATGGGACCCAAAGGCGGGCTGTGGGGAGACGGGCGAGAACGACAGACGACGACGAGCTGGCGGCCGATCCTCTGGTGGGCGAGCTGGTCAGTACCAGGGTGTGCAGGCGATGAGGTAGCGCACGTCGTCCAGCAGCCCCCACGGGCCCTCCGGCGGCGCCCGGCGGTCTGGCTCTGGCCGGGGCCGCTCGGAGTCCTCCGGGGCTGCAGGCTGGGGCTGCGCCGGCTCAGGAGTGCCCTGGCCCCCACTCAGCTGGCCGTCCATGGTGTGCGGGAAGACAGGCTGCCCTTCAACCCACAGCCCGCAGCCCCTCACGCTAGGCGATTGCCCCATGAGCCGCGAGCTTAACGGCCCGCGTGGTTACGTTAAGTCAGAGCGTCCCAGGCCCCGCCCCTCACGTGCTCCTACGCTGCCCAACCCTAGTCGTATCGTCACGGCCCCGCCCAGCACCAACCAGCCAATCACGGCATGACCCCGCCAGGCCCCGCCCGCAGCCAAAAAGGTCCGCAGCTTTAAAGCCCCTCCCCGCCCCCCAAACGGAGTCTTTGAAAGTGAAGTTTGAGGTGTTTTTTTCAGGGAATCTGGGGCCAGGATCAGTGCTTCCCCATGACCTCTGAGGAAAAGGGGCCTGTTGAGGTTAATCAGCAATGTTCATGACATCTCCATCCACCTTGGGCCAAAGAGGACAAAACTACCCTGTAGCCAGTTGCCCCCAACCTCTCTGAAGTTTCCACCCAAGGGACCCTCAGAGATTGCTGCGATTGACACATGTAGAAACTTCAGTGAGGAGTGCTTCTTCCTCTTGTCCTGGGGTGCCTTCTTCCATGGCTGTCTACCATCAGAGGATCAGCTAGGTGGGTCTAATGCCAACTGAGGTGACACCATAGAATTCAATTCTTCCCCAACTTTCCAAAGTCATGGAACAGTGGGGTGGGGACAGGGGCTGGATGCCCAGGTCAACATGGACAAACATCACATTCAGAATGGCATGAAGCAGAAGCCCTTTAATAGGGTGACACACACAGCAGTCAGGGGCCACAGGGCCTGACAGCTGGCAGGACACAGATTTTTTTTTTTTTTTATTAAATTTTATTAGTTTTAATGAACATTTACAGAGATTTGGGGTTTTCATTCTATGCACAAGATGAGTACAGGTGAAAATGAGCTGAACATCCAGTCACTCAGTCCCACTGAGCTCTGGGCTTCCTCCCTGCCAGCATATGGCACAGAGTGGGTGGGGCATGAAGAGGGAGCCAAAGTCCAGAGTCGGGAGCCCAGGAGCAGCAGAGGGTGACTTAGGTGAGGCTGGAAAGGAGAACACATTGTCAGCTGCTTTACAGGGCACACCCCAATCTCCCTTCCCAGGTTGCCTGACTCCACCCTCACCCCTTTGTTCCAACTCAGCCCTAAGAGTCACTCAGATCCCCACCCAGCCTCGTTCCAGATTTGAATGCATCCCGAGTCACTTTTTTTTAAAAATATATTTTCTGTAAGAGACTGGACATCCGTCAATCTTTTCCATTTTTAAATACACTAAACAAAAGATAACGTAAAGCACTATAAATGTTAAGATGAAGCAGCCGGCCCGTGTCCGAAGGTGACTGACAGCAATGGCTACGTTAGCCACACTGCTAATTTACCTTCAGAATTTTATCTAGCACACGAGAAATATCCTTTTTCTTGGCATAAAGAAAAAAGACAATGAAATGTGCACGAGTCACTCTTCCAATCTGAAGTTTTAATAGTCAAGAATGAAATAAACTCTCTCCGTGCAAATGGGTCAGTTTACTCATCAGTTTATTCAAACTGTTACTAGTCCTAAGTCAGACCTTCAAGGGACAGGTCCAGCAGACATTAGAATAGGGAACAAAGAGCTTCAAGCTGGAGACACCTGCCTGAACCACAAGTGTTCCAGGGGCCATGAGGCCAGATTTTCCCAAGGTCAGGACTCTCCCTTATTGGTGCGATCTGACCAGCAAAGTCCCCAAGTCTCAGGCTGGGAGAGAACAGCTCAGTAAGGACGAGTAGAAACATTCTTACTCAGGACAATAAGCAAATACATAATTTTAAGAACGAAGTACTTTTTATTTTTGGTGTGTTTTTTTTTAAGTACTTATTTTTAACCACCTACTTGACATCTCAGTTGCACAATCTCATGGACACCTCAAAGGCATGTTCAAAACCAAGAGTTCAATGAATTTTCCTCTCTGTACAGGCTAGGATCACCAGAACAATGCACACCATGATGGTGATGATAGGGATTCTGTCCCATTTCAATGGAACAGTTTCTAATGTTTTACCATCTAAGTGAAACACTTGATGTCGTTTTCTAGTTGTTGCTATGTGCCTTCCAGTTGGACAGACTCATAGCTGACCCTCCAGCCCATCTTTCTCCCAAACAGCTGGTGGATTTAAACTATGTGCCTTTGAGTTGGGAGCACAATACCTCACTCATGAGGTCACACCACAGAGCTCCCTAGTTTTCTAGTATGAACCCACTCACTATCATATCAATTTCTTCCTCAGGCTGCTAAAAGATTTGTTCATTTTGTGTTTAGTTAAATGACTATTTGTACCATCTTCCTTACACAAAGTCATCATTCCAGAAAGGAAGGAAAGGTCTAATTTATAATCACCACACCACTACTGTCAGCAGATGTTCAACATGGTGGTGTATAAATGTACCTCCTTCCTTCTTATTTAGAACTTTTCACCTGCTCTTCAGTGCTGACAACTGAGTTCGGTACCCAGCAGTGTGCCCCATCAAAATGACCCAGAATCTCAGGGGTAATGTCAGGAATCTAGTTTAACAAGCACCGCAAGAGATTCTAACTTTATACTAAAGCTCAAAACCACAGGCCTGCAGTCAAACTCACTGAAAAGGCAAAGTCCTCTCAGGGAGGAGTGATAGGGAATGGCAAAGGACACAATGACAAAGGAGATTAATCAGAACTGGCTTTGACAAGCTCTGTGGCAACTGGACAATTAAAACAGACTTTCAGGAGGGGCAATCTCCTCCTGTACCAGTCAGATCTGATTTGATGGTACACGCACACAAAAATAATAAAATAAAATAAAAGAAAATATTTTTTAAAAAAAAACAACAACAACAGACTTTCAAGGGGGGGAAAAAGGAAGGAACTGGGGAGGAGGGTAGAGAAAATAGTACAACAATGAATGAATGGAAGGGGAGCTCTGGTGGCCTAGTGGCAAGAAGCTGTACTGCAATCCCAGAGGCGCATGGTTCAAATCCACCAGATGCTCTGCCGGGGAAGGAGGGACAATTCCCTCCTGGACCAGTCAGATCTGATTTGACGGTACACACAAATAATAAAATTTAAAAAAAAAAACAACACAACAACAACAACAACAACAACAATGAATGAATGGGAACCCAAAATCTCTGTAAATGTTCATTAATAAAATTTAGGGGAGCTCTGGTGGCCTAGTGGCAAGAAGCTGCACTGAAATCCCAGAGAACAGTTCGAACCCACCAGATGCTCTGCTGGAGAAGGAGGAACAATCTCCTCCTGTACCGGTCAGATCTAATTTGACAGTACACAAACAAATAATTAAAAAAAAAAAATTAATAAAATCTAATTAAAAAAAAGAAAAAAGGCAAAGTCCTCCATCCTCAGGACCGATCTTCCATTCTACCCATTCCTATCTTAGTCTATCTGAGGTACTTCCTTCATCTAGCAGATTCAAGTAATTATTTATTCCTTAAAGGCCAGACAAAATTATGTCTTACATGTACTCTTCCTAGATCCAAACAAATTTCTCACCAGAGCTTTTAATGTCATCTGAGGATGCTTAAGATACTTTTAATTCCCACTTTAAAGGGAGCTCTGGTGCCCTAGTGTTGAAGAGTTGTGCTGCCAACCCAAAGGAACACAGTTCAAATCCAAACCTGTTCATGGGAAAAAGATGGGCAATCTTTTCCCTTGAGATTTAAGGCCTCTGAAAACCCAGTGGAGGGTCAGGTAGGAGTCTGTTCCAACTTAATGGCAGTTATATGTGGCCACTGTCTGTTCACCTCTGCTACAATCTGAGTCCCTTAGAGGCAGGATTTGGCTAAATTTCCTGGATAGCCCATAGGGCTCAGTAACATCAGGTTATAAAAGTTAAGTGAAGGAAGGAGAAAGAGTGAAGAGAAATTCTGCTTATAGTGAGTAAGTAGTCTTGTTACTTGGCACTTGGATCTATTGGGGGCTGCTATTCTTATAAAAGACCCTGGAGTCTAGTTAGTTGTGACTTCTCTTCCCAAGAACTTCTAAAAACACTCATCCCAGAATCTCCAGGGATGGGACCGAGGAAGATGTTTTTTCAAATTCACAAAAATGCAGATAATTATGATTTTGATGCAAATACCCACCACCTAGTCAGTCCAAGTGCTCTAAGGCATCTAGGGTCTCCTCAGTTCCTTACTACCTTTACTCAACAAACCCCTTTTTTTGTCTATTCCCAGGGCTGTGTGCTAGGGATATCAACACATTGGCATATGCAAACTACAAAGCAATGTGGTCAGTGATAAGATAGATCAAAGGGTAGGGAATCCTTACATTTATTTAGAGAGGGGACAATCAATCAGCTGAGGCTTGAAGATGAACCAAATGAGACTCCCACCCTCCACAGATGAGAGGAAAGGTCCCAGGTACCTGTCAATAAGGGCATCCCGCATTTTGGTGGCAATGCTGCTAGGCTGGGCTTCATTCAGCTTGAAGACACTCTCCACCACCGACAGCTCTGTGCTAGTTGTATCCAGGCCGCAGAAGGCACACCAGTCATTCACAACCATCCCAGCGGCAATCACATCACTGCCTCGGTTCACAGTGCCCGCCTGCCAAGAGGGGCTCAGCATGGGTCACGGACATATGACCAAAATCCCCTCCCTGACGAGGAGCCTCAACCCCAAACTGGCAGATAAATAGCCAGATACCCAAACACAGGACAAAGGGGTATGTTTTGGCAGAAGATGGGTTACTGACCCATCCTACTCATAGAGGTGGAATACGTACCACAAGGGGCACCTGAAGGAGAGAGGAGAGCTCGTCCTGGTCTTCAATTGAAGTCCTGGGATGCACCAGTCCTCCCTGATTGCTAAAGACAGAATAGCTTCCTACTAACACCTGGTCAGCTACCGTCTGTCTGAAGACTTCCACCTTAAGCACATCAGCAAGGATTTCTTCTGTTTCCTATAGAAGACAGTAGGTATTATGCACTTTCAGAACAAAAACCCAGGGGCTTTTGATATCCAGAACCACCCAGAGGTTGTCTCCCTGAAATGCCTCACTTCTCTGCTACAAAACTGCACATGGACCCACTGCTCAGAGAAAGGAGACGATGTATCTTCAAACAGAATCTAGGCCAGCTCTTGCAGTTCCCATTAGCTATGCACGCCCTGGTCTCGGCAAATACCCTCCTACCTCATACCCAAGAGTTAGCTGTGGTTCTATCCTGGCCCCCTGGGGTGGGTTAATTTTTCTGGGTCCTCCATTCTGAAGGATTAATCCCCTTACTGCTTCTTTCAGACACTAATTACACCAGGAAGGGTCTCTGTATTGTACTGTTAAAACTAATGCCTAAAACAAGAGCCCAAGCATAAGGAGAAACCATGAGAGATGTTCGTAATTCCTGCCTGACAGGCAAGAACTGTAGGAACCGCTGATCAGAATGGTCCTATGACTTATGGACAAATTAGGCTGACTCACCCTGTCCAGGTCTGGGTGGACCAACGCTACGTAGTCATTGCAGGTAGTGACATTGCCCAGAGCTGAGAGTCGCTCCTCCACCCGCCGGATCTGCACTGAGTCTGGAAGGCTGTTGCGAATGTGTTGCAGTTCCTGGTCAGTGGTATTGTTGGGCACTAGGAGACCATGCCTGTTTCCTGGAGGACAAGGGGTGGGGGTATGAATACTGAAGATACCTGCTGAGCCCAATCCTTTTCTCCAAGAGAACTTGAAGATCAGACCTCAATCCTCCAACCACTGATCTAGACAGCACCCAGGGTACCAGTAACTTCACCAGGAAGGTAAGTGATGGTCCAAGAGCCTGTCCCAGCCTATCTGCTCAGTTTACCATCATTGCTCAAAATTAAGACCAGTAACAAAGCCCCTTGGGATTCGATGTGCATTTTGCTAATTTAAAGGTTGGCTAACACTACACACACCTATCAGAATGGCTAAAATTAAAGAAATTCTCATTTTGCTATCAAGTATTGACAAATGAAGCTATCATGCACTCTGAGTTAGCAGCCCAACTTGCCACCAGAGCTCCCTTGAAACTCTCATGCATTCTGATGAAAGTATAAACTAGTCAACCACTTCAGATAATTTTATGACACAATCACATGCTCTGGTAAAATAATGACCAAAGTGCTTAACTGCTAACATCAAGGTCACTTAGCCACTGTCATGATAAAGAATGTGTGTCAACTTGGTTGGGCCATGAATCTTAAGTTTGGCAGTTGTGCAATGAGACAGAGAAAGAGACATACATACACACGTCACTGGTTTTACTTCTCTAGAGAACCCATTCTAAGACACCCTAAGTCTTCACAAAAAAAATCTTACAGAAACTTCCAAACCAATAGCTCACAGCAGATCACAAAAAGACTGCTCAACAAAACCACAAAGATTCAGGTGCTACAGCCTGAGTACCCAGCATGCACTCTGTTTGTCAATAACTTTCCTGAGAGCCCCAGAGAGATCTGAGGACAAAGCAAGGCCAACATAACACACACACAAACACAGCAAGAACTATCGAGTTCTATAGAAGAGATTCCCACCTGTGTGACAGGACCCCTGGGAAAGATAAGTTGTACAGAGAATAATGTTCCTACCGGGACTTGTTTAGTCAAAGTACTTTAGTGGTGGAAAGAAAATTATTCCTGACAAATCTGGAGATAGTGTACGTGGTCTCCCTTGTAAAAATGTTGGAAAAGCTTAGAAAAGACTAAATCACCTAGTCATCACTGGCACTCCTCTCAAGAAGGTCTACATAAGATTTTTTAGGAAAATGTACACTAAGTACCAAGTACCACAGAACAACTTCTGTCTGTATGTGGATTTCACTCTAAAAATACAAGACTCCTTTTATATCTTCAATTAATAGCATCTAGGGGGAAAAAATTAACTTTCCTTTTATGATTTATTTTCTATACATAGTAGTAAGGCATGAAACAGATTTTGAGCAAGTGTATCTTTTAGCTGAGTAAAATGAAGGAGCATAAAAACAAAACACACAGATATAGCAGCACTATTTAAAACAGCCAAACGTGCCAAGCACAATCAATAAGAGTGCATCTAAATTCCAAAATCAATCTCCATAATAGTCTATGTGTTTCCTACTGCCAAGGGGGCCCTTTAGAGTAGTGAGAGAAGATCTTCACCCTGAAACCCACAGCGTCCCTTTTCAGCAGGAAGTAGCTAAGAGAATACGCCATCCCCTTTTCCTTATGAATCAGGGTGAAGTCTCTCTCAGGGAGGAGTGATAGGGAATGGCAAAGGACACACTGACAAAGGAGATTAAGCAAAACTGCCTTTGACAAGCACTGTGGCAATTGGACAATTAAAACAGACATTCGGAGGGCAGGGGAAGAAGAACAAACTGGGGAAGAGGGTAGAGAGAATGGTACAGCAATGAAGGAATGAAAACCCAAAATCCCTGTAAATGTTCATTAATACTAATAAAATTTAATAATTTAAAAAAAAAAAAAAAAAACAGCCAAAAGTGAGAATTCAAATGCTCAGTGGAAATGAACTGGGGTTTATGGTATATTTACACAGAACAAGAATGAACAAACTGCAATTACATTATGACAACTAGACTTTGCCCATCCCTAGAAGGCCACATCTCTGAACTCTGACTCAATCTCATCATAAAAACTATCAAGAGCCTTCATCTGGCAGCATATTACATCTACACTTATTAAGAACTTGGTTAAAGATCAGAAACCACCTAGAGGCCAAGGCTTACCAGGTTTAAGGCTTAAAAACGAATAAGCAGAATTCTACGTAACTTCAGCAGGCATAATTAGGAACAAGAATAGTAAAGGGAGAAACAACAATGCTGAGTAAAGTTGGAGACTACTCAGAGACATAAAGAGAATGTAAGATTTAAATGACTAACTGGGCAGGATGACCCCAAATCCTAGTTTGTCATTCTACATGCAGCAATGGATGCTTAGAAAGAACAAGGGCGTTGCTCTAAGTTAATGGAAGAGACATAAATTTAAATCCTCTATCCTCTTCCAAACAGATGTGGGCTTAGTGAGTCACTGAGGTGGAACCCCAGCTTTCTCATTAGTCATATCAGGGTATGTAATTCCTCCCTCCAGCTTCCCAGAGTCTACGTGAAGAACGAGTTTAAGAATTAAGGGTGAAAAGAGTTTAGGAATGTAAGGGTAAAAGGACTTAAAATAGTTTTTATTACTCTTCAAACATTGTTGGGCAGTTTTAATCCAAAACAAACTGGGAGCTCAAGCTAGGCCGTGTTCTTACAGGTACTACATCAAAAATACATCTTTATTATCACTGTAGAAATAAATGAATATTATATATTCTCTTTATCTAGAAACCTTTGCAATGGTTGATACTCAGACTGGGACTCTGCCAAATCTGAGAAATCTATGATTTCTGGAGACAAATGGAAGCTTGGAAATCCTGGATCACGGCCGGTTCCCTTTCAAAATAACTCATGGAGGGGGGCTCTGGTGGCCTAGTGGCAAGAAGCTGCACTGCAATCCCAGAGGCGCAAGGTTCAAATCCACCAGATGCTCTGCCGGGAAAGGAGAGGCAATCTCCTCCTGTACCAGTCAGTTCTGATTTGACGGTACACACAAAAAATAATAAAATAATAATAATTTTTTTTTAAAAAAAGAACTCATGGCAGTGCAGTCGGAAGCCACATAGCTGAGCCCCGAGGGATGCCCAGGTGGTAACTCGCACGGGAGGAGACTGCCTGTCCATCCTTCTCCGGCGGAGCCGCTGCAGGGGTAAAATCAAAGGCACTACGAGGATCCCTACTCCCTTCCTTCGGCCTCGGCCACCTGCCTTACCCACACACATGCGCCCGATGATCCGGCAGCCGGCGATGGACGCGTGTACCACGGGGATGGTATCGGCGAGCTCACCCTCGAACACACTGTGGGGACATGGACTCGGCGGTCACGTTTGAGGGACCGGGGCCCTCCCTCTGCGGGAAGACTCCCAGCAACCCCTCCTCGCCACACACCCAAACACTACCCGCGGGCCTTGGGGCTCCCGCCTCACCTGTAGAAGTTCTCTGATCCCCCGATGGCCACCAGGCAGTAGGTGTTGGTGAGTTTAGCAAAGCAGCCGATCTCACAGTTATTCTCGAATGACGCTCGGACCGCCATGACACCTGGAAGCTGCGGAGCCGGGAGTTCAGGGGCAGCCGATCTCTCGCGACCAAGGGTCCCCACGCCACAGTCACTCAGACTGCCACCCCGCCCCTTTCGACCGCAGGCTCCCCAATATCGGCAGCTCGGACTTCTAGTACCACCCCCTGGACCCACTTTTTCCCATCCGGAATCTTCTGGTACTCACCTCTCAGGACAGAGTCACCTAGAGTAGAGCCTTCCAGTCTCCCTTCACAACAGTTCAAGTAACAGCAACCTCCACACGCAATAACAGCCCCTTCCCCTCTCAGAGCAAACTTCCGTTTCCTCCCTCCACCTTAGAGACTTCCGGAAGACGCACGCATGCGCCCTATTACGCATGCGCCGACTGTAGCCCCACCCACCGGGCGGACTCTATGGCTGCGGCGGCCCCTCCCCACCCACCCATGGCAATATTAGATTTGTACTATTCACTGTGAAGATTTTTCGGAAATGCAATTGACGGTCCCTGCAGCTTGTAGGATGTGAAGCAATTGAGAGAGGAATCGGAGGTGCATCCATGAAAATGGAGTAATTTACTGAAATAAGACCAAAGAAGAAAGCTTGTTGGGACAAAGGACGAAGTCTGTTTCTGCCATTCTAGGCGTAAGGCGTGAAACAGACTCCCAAGTAGGAAGATGGCCCTATCTTGACCGAAGGGAGAGTGAAGAACTGCAAAATGAGATTTAGGATTGAAACCTGGAATGGATGCGATCACTCAGGGAAAAGGTACCCTGTAGGGAGATGCAGACCAGGACAGAGGCTGGAAAAGGAGGTGCAGCCAGTGGAAATAGGGAACCAGACCGAAGCAGGTATTGGAGAGAGAGGAGTGGATGAAGCTGGAGCTTTGGGGCAGTTGCAGGGGTAGATGATGGGGAACCCGAGGTGGATCAGAGTGTGGTGGCTGACTGGCTTTTACATGTGCCTCGCCTATATATAGTGGATCATTCTTTCAGCAACCCACCTTTGGTCCCTGGAAGATAAGAGCTTACCCCTGCTCTCATGGTGATAGGGTGGTATTAAAAAGTTCAGAATTCTCTATATATCTATCAGTTATAAAACTAACGTTATATAATTATAAAACTAACATCAGTTTTCTTCAACCTGCAAAACTAGTTACTTAGCCTCCAAATTCTCTGTTTCCTTTCTTAAGTCATGTAAAGTAGTTTGATCTGTCTGTTTACCAGAAGAGGAAATGCATCTCCTAGATTTTTCTGAGGCTGTTTCCCAGTCATATGTAAATTGTATCTTAATCTGACTGTTTGCCAGGAAAGAGACTGGGCCCTTCCTGAATTATTAGTACTTAAATATGAACTATTCTTTTCAGATGTAGAAATTATTTTTTTACTAACAAAAGTGCATTGTTAAAGTGAGTCTCACCCTCCTATAAAACCTGATGACCACTCCCAGCCAGGGAGGCAGTCTTGGAGGTGACTCTCTGCGTAATAAAATGATTATGGATATTGCAATCCGTTTGTCTTATTGGCGATTGACTATGGAAAGAACACCTTGCGTTCAGTAGCAATGGAATGAACCTGGATCTATAAAAGCTCAGGGTCTCTCAGAGCATCACAATGAGGACTGAGGAGTTTCCCTGAAGGAGCTTTCCAAAACTGGCCTGAATTCTGCTTTCTGCCATGCCCAACATAGTGTTCCAGAACTCCACATTCCTCAGATAGACCAGGCTGCCACAGGGTCATAGTCATGTCTGCTTTTATTGATTTGTATCAGGAGGCCAGCTCTGGCGGCCGTAGTCCACAGTGAGTTATCTACTAACCCAATGACTGCATGCCGCCAGCAGTTCAGGCCCACCACCAGCTCCTTAGGCAGAAGATGGGCAGTCTCCTCCTGTTGCAGTGTATAGTCCCAAAAACCCAAAGGAGGGTTGCTCAGAGTCGTAACTAACTCAATGGCAGTGAGTTTGAGTTCTCAGGCAGGTAAAAGGCCCATAGTGTGTCACACTGTGTCTGCTGTGTCTTCCATTCTTCTTGCCCCTTCCTATTTCACCAAGGACCCTACCCTGGACCTCACTTCACCCAGTCCCCTCTCCTGAGAATGCTTGTCCATCCTTCAAGATCTGGTTCAAATGCTGCTCCTTCTAAGAAAACTTCTGAGTACCCCAACTCACCCTACCCTCAACACCTACATTTTTCTCCACCATGTTCTATCCTTGGTAAGCCTTGAAATACAGCTCTATCCTTTTTTCAATGTTCTGTGCATTTAATCCTTGTCTCCCAGGAACTTAATCAGATTCTTTCAACCTCCGTAAGGCGTCTCCAGTTTAGGGTTGGGTCCATCCCCCAGTACAGCTCAGGTTCAAGAAGATACTGTGTGTGGAGGGTGTGTGTGTGCGTGCGCACATACATGTGCACCCGTGTGTGCTGGTTATATTCATATTTATGACTGAATCTTTAGGGGATTTATATATTTAAAAAAATGGCTTGTGTTCTGTAACTATTCATTTATCCAAGTGATAGTTATTGAGTGCCTCTGACTAGAATATTAAGTGTTTTGGTTTATCTTGTGGATCTTAGAGGACTTAACTGGTTTTGTGTATCTGTGGGTGTGCCTGTGTGTCTTTTGCCAGAGTTTGGGGCATTTCTGAGATGTTTTGTATGCAGGGAACACATGAGCTGTTGTTGATAGTGTGTTATGTCTGCAAAAAACAGGATCTTTACAGTCTGACAGAGACTCCCTACTTTGGAGTCAGAATCAAGTAAATAAACAGTTAAGATTTACAGCTTGGAGACCCAGTGGGGGCAGTTCTACTCTGTTCTCTAGTGTCCCTATGAGTATAGATCAGAATGGACTCAATGGCAGTGGGTTCAAATTTGGATTTTGTTTTGTTGTTGTTATTTGAGTCCACACAAGTCCTCCAAACTCTCTGAGCCTCAGTTTTCAAATTTATAAAATGGGATTGATAATACTTATCACAGAGATGCCAAAAGGATGAGGGATGAGAAGAGGTAAGTGATGTGAGAAGAGGTAACAGTGCCTGACATGGTAGGTATTCAGTGACTCTGGGTGTGTGTGTATGTGTGTGACTGTCTGTCTATCTGGCCTGAGCTGCTAGATGCTCCCCTCCTCATGCAGCCCCTGATCACCATCTGTAACTTGAACGAGTCCAGTCTCCACAGGTGGAAGAGGGGCCTGTCCCTGTTAGGAGTAGGCTAGGAATCAAAGCGGCTTCGGAGCAACTTGAAGTTGAACTTGTTGTACTTGGTGATAAGGTCCAGTTTGCTGTGGCCCAGGGTCATGCGTTTTTCCTCCCCGTACAGGTCATTGTTGCCACCATTACGATGGCCACCTGTGGAGCTCACAGGCAGGCCAGGCTGGGGCCTCTGCCTGGCACCTTGCAGCTTGTGATACTTGGTGATGAGGTCCAGCTTGCTGTGGCCCAGTGTCAGCCGCTTCTCCTCCCCAGAGCCCACTCTGGTCTTGAGGGCAGGGCTCGGACTCGGGAGACCATTGGGCCCAGGTCCCTCACCCCGGAATGGGCCAAACTTCGTGATGAGGTCCAGCTGGCTATGGCCCAGAGTCTGCCGCCGCTCATCTGAGCCCTGCTTGCTGGGTTGAGCTGGGGAGCTGACCTCGGGGACCACTTTGGTACCCCGGGCCTTGGAGAACTGTGCCAGGAGGTCCAATTGGCTGTGGTTTGGGGACAGCCTTTTGTCCTCTGACACTCGGTCACCAATTCTGAGGGAGCCTGACTCAGGGGTGCTCCCAGCACCCTGGGCCTGGGACAGAAGATCCAACTGGCTATAGCTCTGGCTTGGGGAAAATCTCCTGTCCTCTGAGGCCTGCTTGCCAGGCCGAAGGGAGCCGGAGCTGGGGGTAACCCCTGAGTCGGAGCCTCTTGCCTCTGGGCCTTTGGAGAAGGGGACCAGGAGGTCCAGCTGGCCATGGCCCTGACTCAGACATGCCTTCTCATCCACTGTCTCCAGGGCTGGGCCAGGGACTCGGCGACCTCGTGGAGGGCTTGGCTCCTGGTTTCCTGGGAGCCCATTCTCTGGGAGCCGGGACAAGGCTGGGCCACCACGGGTGAAGGGGAAAAGGGGACGTGGGCGGGAGAGCAGAGGTGAGCCTGCTGCGAGGTTCAGGGGGCTGGTGCTCTGCTGGTTGAGGGCAGGAGAGGACTGAGACCAAGGGGACACTCCTAACTTGCCCAGGTTGGCCCTGTAGAACCCAGGAGGGGAGCCATGCTTAGGGTCTGACAGCTGGCGTTGCAACGAGGACAGCCTGCTGGCCTCTCGGCGGACAGGGCCTGGGGATGATGACCCCATATCCGTGTCACTGCAGCCTCCTGGTAGTGCAAGGTAAGAGGAGCGGCCCATGAGAGGAGAGCGCTTGACACTGCTGAGGCTGGTGCTGGAGGGGGAGGAGGAGGTGGTGCTGGCGATGCCAGGCCTGAAGGTCAGGGTCACCTGGGGAGGGCATGGTGCCCTGGGTGACAGTGGCTCCTCACCACTGCAGAAGCCCTCCACAGGCCGAGACTCGGCATACAGACAGCGGAACTCACGATCGAAGTCTTCCACGATGCGGCCCCTCAGCTGTAGCACCATGCTGGTGTGGGCCTGGCTGCATAGCCAGGTGAAGCTGGGGCAAAGGGGTGGTGTCAGGCAGAAGTCCCAACCCCCCTCCAGTGAGGGGACAACACTCTCACCCCAGGCCCTGCACTAATTCTAGCTTGGCTGCGTGGTAAAGGGCAAGTGACTGCCCATCTCAAGCCTTCAGTTTCCCCTTCTGTAAAATGGTCTGGAACTAGGGATCCCTGAAGCCCCTCCAGTTCTGATGTTCACCAGTCATTCTTTATGACGAGGACAGTAAAGTTACCGTCCCGCCAATGCTAGTGCCTGAGCCCAGCGCAGTGCCTGGCAGGCAGCAGATGCTTGGTGTGCACTTGACGAGAGTGGATGGAAGAGGAGCAGTTCAAAGCTGCCAGATCCCAGACGCCCTCAGCACTCAAGGACCCAGCCCCTGGCCCTCTCCCCACCAGTCCTCGTGCTCACCTGTAGCTGCCCGCTACCACCTGTTCACAGTCGATGATGATGAACTTCTCCAGGGCCTGCCCTGTGAAGCGGCGGCCCGCCTTGCTGCAGTATGTGTCTCCATACGTGCTCCGCACACGCATATTCTGAATCAGGGAGGAGTATGGGAGGTTGAGGTGACCTTGACAGACTGGAGGCTCATCCAGCCTGTATGCCTTTGGCGGTCTTTGACCCAAACCAGCTAAGAAAACCCACTCCCCCACTCTCACTGGCTCCTATACCCACTGACCACCAACTGACTTTCCTTGCCTTCCCTGGCCCCTCTCCCATTGCCACCCTGCCCCTCACTGACCAATAAGTGTCCCCCATTGAGGTCCATCTTGTAGCACATTTCCAGGAAGTGCCTCAGGTGTTCCTGGGCCAGGAGCAGATAGACAGGGACACCACGCCAGCTGGAAGCTTCCATGAGGTCACACAGGAGCTCCATGTCGGTGAAGACATCCATCACCACAGCCACCACCTGGAGAACGACGAAGAGGATGCTCAGCCTTGCTCAGATGCTGCCCACATCTACCCCTGCCCCTCGTTTCTGAGCTCTCCAGTTCCTTTCTCCAGTCCTGCACCCAAGAAGGTGCAGAAGTTTAGTGAGACATTTCTGAATTCCCTTCACTTCTACCCACACTGAGTAAAAACCCTGCTCAGCCTAGGGGCTGGCGTTAGGGGCTGCTTTTCCACACAGGCCTGGCTCAGTCCCACAGCCAGACCAAGAGATGGCCTAGAATATGCACTCTGCTCTTCCTGGTGCTATGGATCTGTGTTAGTCCCTTCCCCTCTGGGAGCCTCAACTTCCTCATCTGTTAAATGAAGATAATAATAGTAGGGTCTCAGAGTTACAAGGTGTTAAATGTGAAAAGGCTCTGCAAACAAGAGAAGCTCAATAAATGTTCCTTTCCTGCTCCCTTCTTATCAAACAAGGACATCATTGGACCACAGGGAGAGGGAACACTTCCCAAGGTCACTCAGAGCCTGGGGACAGGGCCCACAGCAGTAGCCTGGCTCCTAACCCAGGTCAGAGGGTCCTAAGGGAAGTTGGTTAGGATGAGATGCCAGAGTATGTGGGGGCTTCTCCTGGATCACATCACAGGCCTGGTTAGTACTGGGGGAATGGCAGGCAGAGAAGATCAAAGGGACAGGGGAGGCAACGGCACCAATAGCAACAGCCTCCCTAATAACCCCATTGCCGATGCCAATCAGGCTCTGTCCTCCCCTGCCTGGGGCACAGGCTTGCCGGGAAGCGCTGGCATCCTGCCTACTCAGCTGCCCAGACTGATTCCTCAGACGGGTCATTTTATTCATGTCCATGCCTCCTGATCATCAGGGCCCAGCAGTGAAGCTCGTGTGGCTGGACCCCTACATCAGCACTGGCCTTCTGACCCACTTGTTCCCATCTGAACTCTATGCTCCCCGGCCCTGAGTCCAGCAGCCTCCATTTCCCTGCCTCTGCAAATGCAGAGCTAAAATCTCAGCCCTCAAGGTCATGTCAAAGCCCCAGCAACAGATGTGGTACAAGAGGGACTAAGGTGCAACTGGGGGATGTGCTGGGCCCAGGGAGCCCCTCTCATCCAAAGTTGGCACCCTCTGAGCAAGTCTCAGTGCCTCTCTAGCCTCAGTTTCCTCCATTCCAAGTCAAAGGGATAGCTATGATGCACTCCAAGGTTGTAATTCTGAGTTTTGGGGTCACAAATCTTTTTGGGTATCTGATCAAGGTCACAGGCTCTCAAGAAAGATGCAGAGACAAATCATTCCTACAAAATACACAGCTCTGCATGCATTTTCAGGGGGCTGTGGAGTCTCTGGGGTCCCTCCCTTTTTATTACCCATAGTTTTCTTTCTTTCACCTCCCCAATAAATCTGATTTATTTTGTTGTTGAGAATATACATAGCAAGGCATACATCAATAGTTTTTACATGTCAGATTCAGTGACATGGTTTATGTTCTTCGAATTCAGTCATTCTCACCCTCATTTTCTGAACTGCTCCCCTTTCATTAACAGAAATCTGCTGTTCCTTAAGGTTCCTATCCAGTCTCTGTTGTTCATTTGGTCTGACAGTTTTCAAAAAGCACAATGTTTGACACAGACTGTTTTCACTAGTTAAGTTAAACTAAGATGGCTTCAAGGGATACATAGTTTTCTTGATTGTCAAAGGTTTACCAAGTTAAATTAGGCATGTGCCTGCCCTCTAGGTACTTGTGATCTAGTAGAGGCCAGAGTTTCTAGTCCCAATTCTGCACCTACATTGCTGTGTAGCCTTGGGCTGGGCCCTTTCCCACCTCTGGACTTCAGTTTCCATATCTATGAAACAAGTGTCTGAAAGATGAGGTGCTTACCGTGCGGGCCTGGCTGAAGAGGAAACGCAGCAGGTCCTTGATGTTCTTGGCCTTGTCCCGCTGGAAGTGGACCACAGCCTGAGTGGGACTGAAGCCTGTGGCCTGTGGAACCTCTGGCCAGCCCAGGTCCAGATCTGGGGGGTCCACGTCAGAGACCATGGGGAAGTACGTGCCTGATGTGACTTCTGAGAGCAAGCTGAGGCGGTCAGGCCCTGAGGTCTCTAGTCCCTGGCCCTCGTTGAGCTCAGGTACCCCTCGCACATGGCTAGTCATATAGTCCACATCCAGGGCGCTCAGGAAGGGCAGCTCCCGCTCTTCGGAGATAACCCGCAAGTAGGCAGCCTCACCCAGCTCCAGGAGGGCGTCAGCTGCCAGCCGGGCTGCCTCACTGTGCTTCAGCACCAGCGGCGAGGTCTCCCGCCACCAGGGCCGCTTCAGCTCTTCTACCCGGCTTCGCAGGGGTCCCGCCATGCCCTGGGCTGCAAGGCCCCCAGGCCCCAGGCCTCCAAACATGCCTGCCCACCTGGCTGCTCACCTGCCAGCAGGCTCCATGGTCTGCACCCTAGACTGGCTGCAACAGGAAGAAGATTCTAGCACAACTACCTCCTGCCTACCCGCCCTTTGTGTGGCAGGATCCCCAAACTGCTGCCACCCTAAGTCGGAGCCAGAGCCAGGCTCCACCCCAATGCCCCTGGCCTCTGGAACCTGTCAGGTCAGCCCTGTCTCTCTGCCCACTGTTGGGACTCGCCCGCCCAAGGAAGCAGCACTGCCAGGCCCTCCTCAGCATACACTCCTGTCCCTCTGTCCCTTGGCCCAACCTGGCATCCCCACCAGGCTCCTTACAAGTTTTCCCAAATTTTGACCTTCCAGGGCTCCTGTGGAAATGGGATTGGGCTCTAGAGGGTCTCAGGCTTGCAAAGGGGGACACTCGGGGTAGAATGCACACAGACACGCGTAGACCGTGTGTTTTGATCAAACTCCTTCAGTAAAATGACAGCACTAATTCAGGGACTGGCTTTAACACACCACACCACAGTAGATACCATGTGGCTCAGCGTGGACACTGAGCAATGTCACTGCCCAGAAAAAGACACCCTGCCACTCACCACCTCCGTGCCTGCCTCTCACAGCCCCCTACCCAGCCCCACCTCTGTTTCCAAACACACCCTCCAAAGGCCCAGGCAGAGTCGTGGCTCACAGTAACCCAGGAATTGTTAAAGTGTAGACCCCCCCAGGCTCCACCCTCCCAGAGAATCTGATGCGGAAGGGCTTTGGAGCAGGAACTGCCGGCCTTTGAAACAAGTGGCCTGTGCACGTGGGGCTATGGGCTAAGTCCACCCCTTGAGAAGGGCTTCTCCCCATGACTGTGTTTCACACTCCCAACCCCAGAGGTGCTCTTGGTTAGTAAGGTTATGAGGTAGTCAGCCTCTGAGGAGGGGCTGAATCTGAAGAGATGGGTTGAGGAAAGCTGTTTCAGAGGGTGGGAAGAGCCACTACAAGGTCAGGAGGCAAAGAGGGCAGGTGGGTTTCTGATCTCTGGCCCCTAAATGAGCCAAATTCTCAGAAGCCGTTCAGCCTGTCTTCAAGAGAATGATTGAGGCTTTGCTCTAGAAAAGGGGATCTTCGAGGGCAGCTATGTTGGGGAGGCAGTCAGAAAAAGTGGTCATGATAGTGTAGCGCAAAGCACCACCTCTACATGAAGGTACAAGGTCCAATGAATTGTCCATGCCATGGGGTGGGGAGACAGGAGACCTAAAGCATCACCTAGAGCCTCAACACCCCCTCTTTTCCAGACTGCACCAGGCTTTGCCTGGTTTGTCTAGTTTGGGGCAGGGAGCCTAGCACATGTGTGGGGGGGCACAGATGCTCTCAGCTTAGAGGATTCCTGGGTTGAGCTGAGCACTAGGGACCAACATAAAGGTCAGGGACTGGGCCATCCCATCCCATCCCACCCCATAGGCATAACTGGTGCACCAGGCCCTCTGTAGGGGAATCCCCTAAGGCTGGGGAGGGTATGTGAGGTGCAGAGGATGAGTAAGAAGGGCAGCCCGTGGGAGGGTAATGAGCAATGGGGCAGCCTGGAGACAGAGCCTTCATTAGGACTTTATCTACAGGTGAGTTAAAAGGGGGAAATCAGAGCCTTATCAGGATCACAGGATTGCCTCTGGGGGTGGGGGGAGGCAGGCGCCCCAGTTCTGCGTTGTTGAGTTCCTGTTTGTCCCTCGGTGAAGACTTGTACAACCAATGGTACACATGTTTTGGCTCTCTGCATCAGGGTTCATTGCTGTTGAGAGGGAACTGACTTGCAGCTGACCTTCCAGTGGGTTTTCAGAGGCTATAAATTGCATGGAAGGAGATTGCCTATCCTTCTCCTGAGGAGCAGCTGGTGGATTTGAACTGTGCCTTTGGGTTGGCAGTACAACTCCTTATCCACTAGACCACTGATGGTTTTTCTCATTTCTGTCCATGCCCATATTAGTATTCTAGTCTAGTTTTCTGCAAGTAAAAACAAAAAACTCTTGACTATTGCCAATTTCATAAGATTCAACTAGACATTCTTGCATCACTGTACCTGTGCATGCCAGTACAGGTCCTCACTGTGGGCCTGGCAGCAGGTAAGCATCTAGCTATATGTCTGTGCATTGTACTGTGTATGCGTCTCTAGGGGTGAAGTAGCTCTGGAGCCTAACTTTTTGCATTTTGTTACTGGGTGTGTGTGGAGCACTCAACTTGAGAGGGACAGGGTGGAGGTGGCTGACTTGAAGGGAAAAGGGATCCCAAACATCCTATAATAATAGCACACAAATCAAATAACCTCCCCAGGGCTGCTCAAATGGCTGACCTGCCTTTAGTTTAGATTGAATGAGATGAGTCAGAGGGTAAAGGGAGGGAGGCAGCCTCAGGGTTGGGTCTGAGGTGGTGACTCCGGGTGACAAAAGTCATACAGACAGACCCAAGCTCAGGCCCTGGCTGCAGTCTTCCAGGCACAGGCCCCTTAATGATTGTTATTAAGAGGAAGGAAAATATTTTTCCAGTCCGGGAGGTGTGTTGGGCACTTGCCTCTAACTGACCTGGAGGCCATTTAGCTGCATCTGTTGTCTTACCCAGGTTGAGTGGCGCCTGTGTCGGTCACTGTCATGTTGGGGATCAGAGGCCGGGCTGCCATCCTCCAGTGGCAGTTGCTCTGATACCACCTGTAACTGGTTCTCTTGGGTTCAAGGGAGGACCACAAAGCAGAGTGGGTAAGGGAGCTGAAAGACAAGGGGAGGTGTGAGGAGGCCCAGATGCAGGTGAGAAAGGATGGGAAGGAGTTCTAGAGATGAGAATGGCAGGCAGGTCACTGCAAGCTGGAGGAAGGACAAGGCCAGAGCTATGGAAAGAAGGCAGGGTCAGGGTACCAGAAAAGGTGCTTCAGAAAGGCATTCTGGAACCAAACTCAGGAGACCTTGAGTGTCTGGAGAAGGTGCTAGATTCTTACTGCAAAGATGATGACGTCAGTATTGAGACCTGCTTTGCAATTCCCCAGGGGAGTGGTCTAAAGCACCAGGCTCCCAGACACAATGCCAAATGTCGTTTTTCCCTGAGTGGGGTCAGCATCCTGAGTTCTTCATACCCACTTGGATTGTGCCACTGGACTCAAGAATCTGACCACTGTGGGCTTGAACACTTAACTCTGTCACTTAACAGGTTAGCTGAACAATCAACTTCTCTCAGTCCATTAGCTCAATCTACAAAGTAGGAACTACATCACCTCCCTCTCTGGTTTCTTGTGAAAAAGAAATGAGCTGATTTATGTAGTAGTGGCTCAGTACAAAATCAACAGACTTGGTTCCAACAGTCAGGAGATCAGGAGACATATTGCATTTTAAAGTCTGCAGTTAGGGACCTCTCCAAATTACTGAAACGCAATGATATCAGTTTGAGGACTAAGGTGTGCATAATTCAGGTCTTTTCAGTCTATGTACCTGAGAGTTAGATAATGAATAAAGAATACAGAAGAATTGGTGCCTTTAAGTGGAGCTATTGAAGACGAGTTCTGAATATCACGTGGAATACCTAATGAACAAACAGGTGTGTCTTGGAGACGGTGCAGCCAGCATGCTCCTTGGAGGCAAAAAAATGATAAAACTTCATTTCACATACTTTGAGCATACTTCTGTTGCTAAAAGAGGGACATCATGCTTGGAAAGGTGGAGGGATGATCAAGCAGAGGAATTATCAACCAGGTGGACTGATGCAGTGACTGGGATGGAGTGTATTAGAGATTGTGAGGTTGACACTGGATAGGACAGGGTTCAGATCTGTTCACAGGGTCAACGGCACCTAACAACAACAGCTCAGTACATGCAGGGTGCAGAGCTTTTCTGTCAAAGGACAGAGATGCAGGGAGGCCTGAAGATAAAGCTAAACAGCAGGATTAGAGGACCGCTGGGGGTCTCCAGGCTGTTTCTCCACCAAAGGCTGACCCAGCAAGTGCACATGGCCTCCAGGTACTGTCATCACTTTTGCATTTTGACCTCTGGCCCCATTCAAGCTCAGGGGACACCAGGTCCTCTTTCATATGCACATAGACAAGCATGCTCACTTCTTCCCCAGCACAAAGGGCTGCAAGAGATGAAGATGTTGACATTCATTTCAGAAGGGTGTCTGCTTTTGATGCTGTGATGATCAGGGGAGACCTTGTCCCCACTTCTCATGTTTCCAGATGGGCAGGAAATTTAGATTTCATTCTCTCTCTTCTGCCTTCTTGTTCACTCCCTCTTCCTCAGGGAAGAATGACTTCCCTTATTATAACTTGAGTAAGGGTCTGGGCTCAAAATTTCTGAATTTATTTTCTGGTTCTGCTGTCAGCAAAGGTGGCATGCTCTCCATTTATTTACATACGTGGCAAACTTGTAGGAGAGGTTCTGCCCCTATTATAAGAAACAGGCTCATCCTTTCTTGAGGACTAAGGGAGGGGGTGGGTAAGCATTCACTTTCTCTGACAGTTTTGTCAGAAACACCAGTAAAACCACTGTTTCATTTCTCAATGAATTCTGCACTTGGAAGGGAATTACTAGGTATTAGGTATTTATTAGGTAAGCCTTCAAAACTATTCATTCTCTCCCTGTCCAATTCTGCCCCATGTAATCCTATCCATCCAACATGTATTTAACGCCTACTTTATGCCAACATTGTAGTACTGAAGAAGGTAAGACTTTGTCTTATCTGTTGTTGTTAAGTGCTGTCGAGGTGACTCATAGCGACCCTATGAAGGAAAGACCTGAACATTTGTATAACTTTTGTTCTTTCTCCAGGTTCCTAGGGTTTCTGGAGGCAAGCTATTTTGGAAGTGGATGCCACTTCTGCCAGTACTGCTTTAATAGGAAGTATCAAAAAGGGATGGCTTTAACATACATTTATTGACATTTAGCAACCTCAAGGTTGTTGTTAATTGTTGGAGAGTTGGAAATGACTCAAAGCTGACCTTTCCCAGAGGGTTTTCATAGGCAGGAGCTTGCCATCTTTCTCCT